ATTTTGACTACTCACCTTGCGTGAAGGTCTCGTGTACGGCAGAAGTATACTAGAGATTTGCGTCTTTCCTTGCATTTTACGTGCTTTTGGGCTGAATGTGATCCGTGGGACTCCTACATTCATTAACTGTACTGGTGCCTACGCTGCGGCATACTCGGAGAAATTTGGGTTTGATATTTCCGAAGAAAGAAAGGCCAAAGCGGGTTATTATCACTTTATCCAGCCAAATAATATCACTACTATTAATTTATCTGCTAATATTATTTTTTTAGTCACTTCACTCTCATAGGTAATTTAATTTAGTATGTTAACAAATTTTAAACAAAAACACCTTTTTATTTATAATATTACTGTCGGTTGTTATTATGGCGGTACAATCGCTTTATTTTATAACATTTTCTGGACATTTTATCCCATTGTTAATTTAACCAGTACGTTCAAATTTTTTTTTAATGTATTTACTCTTTGTATATATAATTAAAAATAAAAAAAGTTGAAACAGTTATTCATTCATTTTTTTTCCTCAAGAGTTCCAAAAATATAAAAATAAAAGGATTTTTTATATTACTTTTTTCACACTTATTAATACCAGTGAAAGAAAAAGAGATAGAAGAGAAGGAGATAGGAAACTAGATTTTGCAAAGAAAGAAAATAAGGGAAAATCTAATAATATCGTATTACTTTAATGTCGTCAGGATTAGTATTGAAATTGGGTGATAAACAAAAAAGTAAAGCAATTTTAAAATAATAAAAATATTAAATTCTTTCTTATTTGTATTTTTTGAAAAAAAAAATTGAGCTCTCTCTCTCCCTCTCTCTCTAGCCCACGTTAAGTTTTCACTCAAAAAATTTGTATGCCCCCAGGACGCATTCTAGCTAGCGTGTTCCATAAATTAGGGCTTGGCACCTCAATTTTCTGAGAAGTTTTTTTCTTGCAAGTTTTTTAAACAACTTTAACTACAGAAATTACTAAAAAACACTCAAAAGTTCTTAAAATATATACCCCAATATATTCAAAAAAATTTCTTTCTTTCCTTTTTTCTTTTTCGACCCCTACCTCAACTCTCTCCCACCACCGCTACTACAGCCTCCCGTCCTTTTTTTCCTTCTTCTTTTATCCCCCCTTCTCTCTATCTTCCTCTTTCTTTCCTCCTCTCCTCGCCATCCTCCTTACCTCCTTCCCTGCCACCCTTCCCTTCCCTAAATCTTGATTAGGAGGTCGCTATAGAGATTGCCACCAGTGATTTAGGGGGAGGGTGGCGGGGTAAGAGAAATGGGGATGGAAGGTGCAGAGAAAGAAAGAAGGAGGACGAAGGGAAAAGAGGGAGGGAGAAAAGAAAAAAAAAGAAGAGGGGAGGTTGTTGGCCAGCGCTATGGGTGGTGTGGACCAGCCAATGTGGTGACGATATGATAGTGGTGAGGGAATGAGAAGAAAGGTGTGGGGAGAGAGAAAAAGAGAAGAAAGAAAGGAAAGAGAAAAAACGAAATACAATGAAAAGGAAAAAATAATTTTTAAAAATTTCTTCAAACCCTCAAACTCCAATTGTGCTTAGAAACAAAAAAGCAAATGTATCTCTATGGCAAACTATGACCAACTATTGCAAATTTTTAAAAAAATGAAATCCAAATGGAAAATTTTTATATCCTAGTGAATGGCAAACATACTAGCACAACCTTCATTCATTTCTGCTCTTCTTCTAGCCATCACCTATCAATTTCATTCTCTCTTCCCCTCTATCTCTATCACAGCTATCTTTTTCATCTCCATCTAATTTGACTATAAAATTTTCATCCGCTCTCTCAAGTTATTATTTTGGCAATTTCGAATCTTTAATATATGCAAACTAGAACAAAGATAAAACAAGAGGGGCTGACAGTACAGTAACAAGAAAAGTAGAGAAGAAGATAACAAATAGATACTACTATTAGTGGCGGGTTTATAGGCTAATTGCTTAGAATATATGTTAAAAAAAAAACATCGCACAAATGTATCTCTGACACACACCATTTCTCATTCTATACCTGCCGTGCTGATTGAGCACAGCCGCAGAACGAATTGTCAGAAACTCTGCAAAAATGTCAGTAGGTCAGCGGCTCACAATTTTTTTTTTTTAAATTAGCCTGTCCCCAGCCATGCCGTGCTGACTGGGCATGGCTGGGGACAGGCGGCAAAAAAAAAAAGGGCCAGCAAATGGGATGTATTTGGGAACATGAATTTTGTAGCAAAAGTGAAACGAAAGGCCATACAAATTCACTGCACTAGCTGCCCTCTTTCTTTCTTTCACTCTTTTGTTTGCTCTTTATTTCTTGGAAGAGATATCTAAACGATTTTATTGCACTAATCCTAATCAAAGATTTTGGTTTTATAACTTAAAGATTTTGCTATGGAGTCTTATAACACTTAAGTTAGGAAGATCAAATTTTCAAAGTGGAAATGGAAGATTATTATATTTTTCAAACTGCAAATTGGTATAATTCTATGTACAATGAAAATTCAATGCTTGCTCACATTTTTTGAAGAACAACATGTGTAAGATAATATATGAATATTTATATGTAAATTAAATGCAGTTTATACGCGACAAAATTCATGAATAAGAATCCATATATGTAAAATTAATATACATTTTTTTAATTTTTGCTAGTAATTAGATACATTTGTGACTAACTGGTATTCAAAGCTAAATTTTAATCGTGTCATTATTTTTCTTTTAATCTCTAGATCAACATGCAAAAAAAATAATATTCTTTTGTGAATATTTTGACATTCAATTTACATGAAACATTTGAACAGTGAAAAATAAATTAAAATTTTAACAAATTTTGGATTAATTAGATGGCAAAACTTAGTCAATTTTTCATGAAATTTTATGTATAATTAATATAAGTAATGAAATATATTATGAATAGTATTAATTTTTGAAAATAATTTTAAATTAATTTTATTCGAATGTAGAGGGGAGAAATTCTCTTCAATGCAATAGAGAGGAGTCTAATCCTTGGGTTTCCATGTGGTGCTGGCCTATGACCGCATACATTTCCATGTCTATAGACAAAAGAGAAAGTGCATTGATCAAAAAGCTCCCTCAAATGAGATTGAGTGGTGTTTGTTTGTAAGGAAAAGGTGAGCAAGTTTAACAAAGTTAGTTATTATTTAATTTGTGTAGGTTGGTTTTTTTCTTTGCATTTCCAACATTTTGTGACTATAAAACTTGAAAGATTACAAAGAAAAATAGTTAGCTAGACGCTAGATTTTAATTATTAGCACTTACTATCAACACGTTGGTGCCAACACCGTAGATGCTTTAACAGATACGACATGAGGATGAGCAGGTGGCTAGTCTTTGAAGCTTTTCTACTAAAGTTGTTCATGTCAGTACACACAATTTACATTAATCGAAGTTTGAAAGTAGGGACAATCTCAGGTGGGGAGTCCCAAAACAGGAAGTAGTAGGAAGGAACGAGGGATGTAGATTTTGTGCTTTTTGGGTAGTAGAAGTATTTGTTACAGTTACAGAGACGGGACGGTCAAACTAAAAAGATTAAAGTTCTGCTGCTAATGATGATATATTCCAGAAAGCAACACCTAATTTGAAAATGAAAACCAACCTAATACGCACATTTCCTTCAATTAATCACGGACAGAGTCTCAACCTAATCCTAAAACCAGACCCACGGTCACATGTCCAGTTGGATGAGTTGTCGGGAGGTTAGGAATCTCGTACCCAATACCGTCGACCATTTCAACCCTCAATCCAAACAGCTCATGCCAGACTAAGCCGATGCTCCTCACAACTAAATCACCCCATACAGCTAGTATTATTGTCTTCTTCTTCTTCCCTCAAAAAGAGCTCTCAAGTCCAAACAGCCAAATGCCTGTACTGCATTAGCATTTATGTCGTTGGTTTGTTACACAAAAGTGTAAAAAGTGTTTCTTTATCCTTTTTTTGGCACATAAAAAGTGACCAACTGACAATAATGTAAAGGTGACTGAGATATCAACACTTCATTTTGACGATATACTAACTTAATAGTGTGCAGAACTTAATAAATAGTAGCATATGTTGTTCATTAACGAATTACAACTTCGTGCGTTATGCATCATTCTGAAACAGTCGTACAAAAACCATTCCGGCCCATGTCCTGTTGCTGAGAGACCATCGTGTCAGGTTTGATCTATTGCATTCATAAAAATAAAAATCCGGCCACCACCATCCTCGGACACGGTGGACGGAGGCCACAACATATATAGTAGTTTGAATTCCATTTTTCATGATTTTTCATGAAAAAATTACTGTATCGATTTAATGTATGTGAGGGAAAAAAGTAATAGGAAGATGTGATCACGAAAAATGACGCAATTTTCCAGTAGAAAATGACAATCCAAACGGGGCGGGAAAGTGGGATCTTATCATCATCCATGAATTGAAACATGCAAGTAAATTAGATTATCGTGTCTTTTAGTAGCAGCAAATTAAATTAGCTGCTACCATCGCTAATTTTAAAAGGAAGAAAAAAAAAAAGAAAGAAACGCAGAATCAACGAACAAAGAACCAAGCATTTACGACAACAGCTTCTCTTTTCCCTGCCGGAGTTGCCCCATAAAATACAAAAAGTGCAGAAATTGACTGCGGATCACATCACGGACAGAGTTTAATGATATTCCAAAAACATATTAATTTAGACACGAGCTGTTGAGTAGCGAGTAACTAGTACATTAGTACATTAGTACTTGTTTGGGTCTAGCTATGTATGTATGTATGTATGCGTCATGTGTGTTTTTCTGTAATACTCTACCATTAATTACTACAACACAACAACTATGATCCGATATATACTCCATTGGGTTGGGCTGGGATTAGTAAATAAATGATTGGTTAGTGAAAGAACAAATGAATTAGCTAGCGCCTAGCCTAGCCTAGCAGCAGCAGCAGCAGTAGTAGTAATTACCCAACATTAAAAGCTGAGGTGATGAAGACCGACCTCTTTTTTTCCAATTACTAATTCCAAGCATAGACCACAAGCGAAAAGCCACAAGGACCCCCCTTGAGCTCATTCTCTTCCACGCTCGCCCATTCCATCACGGAAGAAGTAGAATTCGAGGAGGAGGAGACAGAGGACAGAGACGACGAAGACCAGCTCCTTCCCGATCTCATCTTGAACCCCTTTTTCATCATCATCGTCGTCGTCGTCTTCTTCTTCTTCTTCGTCTCAAACCCAATTAAATTTAGACCCCCGCAGTCTTGTTGCAACGTCTTATTTTTCTCCACCTCATTCTTCTTCAAATTGCCGCTGTTGGTGAGGAAGTCGTAGTAGGAATAGTCATGATGATGATGAGCATCCTCCTCCTCCTCCTCCTCCGTAATTAAACCTCCCGGTTTTCTCTCAAATTTGAACATGAACAGAGCATAGCCATTCGTAAGCTCATGATCGTCGTCTTGGACGAATAACCAGTTGTACACGTCCCAAGACACCTGAACAGGGGGGATCCCATCGTCACCTTCAACCCTTTCGTTTCCTCTGAACTTCCACTTCAGATGCTTCACCTGCAGAACCCTTTTGTCGGCGATGCTAAAGCACAGCGTGGGGCCACCTTCACCCCCGATAGCCCTGTAATCAATCGATACATCTATTTCTTGTTCGCCCCCTCCAATATTAGCTCTGGTGGTGTAATATAATCTTTTCTTGTTGCCATAAACGTGCTCTCTTCTCAAAACCATTACTTGGTTTCTGATCTCGGCAGCCGCCGTCTCCTTAGGAGTTGGCCTAGCTCCTCCTCCGCCGCTGGCGATGCTCCTTGGGAGTTGGCATAGCGGTAGCAGCTCTTCCCCAACAAGGAGCGTCATTTCTCCCCCGATCAAAATTGCGACGTAATAACCGGATGCGGGGTCGGGTCTCGATCCGAATTTGGCCCGGGAAAGATCCCAGAACACCCGAGCAGTAGTAGAGCTAGTATTTGGAAGACCAACAAGTGTTTTGGATCCTCGTTTCTTCCAGAAGGTAAAGCGCGGATTGAATTGAAGGTGGAAGGAAGGGGACGGTGGAAAAGAAAGGTGGTGGTAGTCGAGGAGGAGGTAGATGTGGAGGGAACGAGTGCCGAATGGGCCTTTGGACCAGGTGAGGCCAAAGAGGCCTTGTTGAGTTTGATAGAGGGAGGTGGTGAGATCAGGATTGGCGGAAAGGACCGTCTTGGGGGCGGAGGCGGCGGTGGTACTGAAGCACGAAGGAAGGGAAAAAGAGCGGTGGCCGGGATGCGGCATTTTGAGAATTCCAGCTATAATGACTCTGGGTCTGGAGTGAGGTTTGGGAGATTGGTTGGATTTGCTTTTGTGAAATGTGACGATGGAAATTGCGGGTTTATGTATACTTAGTGATCCGCGCACCCTCGACGTGTACAGATGTGGAGTCCTGTGGACTTTGAAAAAACATATGTATGTATGTATGTATGTATATGATGCACTAAAAAAACATGAAAACGCGAAAGGATAAAAAAATAAATGCACAAAAGATGGAAGGTTTAATAAACGTACGAGTGAATCCCTCACTAGGAATAAGAAGGTGACTAATATTTTATTGATTGTCAGGAAAAAAATTTATAAAAAAAAATAAACAAATTATTCAGAGCTAACCAGGATCACAATGAAAATGTTAGAAGAATACTACAAACCCAAAAAAAATCCTTCGGAGAATCCAACTATCCTTCCTTCATATGATATGGGTGGAAGTCTACAACCACTTCTTTCTCCTTTCAATTTTTCTTACACGTGTATTATGACTATTTATTTATCAATGATGAAAGGAGAAATGCATTAGTATATCTATATATGTACTGTAGTTTAGTAGATGTACTGTAGTTTTGAAATGTTTTAAATACCATTAGACAAAAATATGGAGGTTTAGATAAGTATGAAAAAATAAAATCAACGCGACCGTATCAATGTCGGAAGAGAAAAATGTGGTATTAAGTTTTTAATTGCAGCTACATTGTGTCTATTTTTACCATTAACAATAAATGTAAAATAAGATGACGTACCTTTTAACACCAACACTCACTCACGTATTATATGTGCTAATGACTAATGATAAGGGTATGCTCGGTATGCGTGCAAACTTTGATCTTTTAAAAGTTTTTTGAATGGAATTTTAATTAATTTAGTGGTTACAATATATTTATGGGCGATTATGGGTAAACACCATAAGGTATGATTTAGTGATCGCGAGGATGAAATAAGAAATCCAAAAAATGACAAAAAACATTTACACCTAATCCAATATTCTCTCCTTATATACTTGTGCTTAAGGCATATGCGATGTGTGTGTAATTCAGAAACACTTTTTTGTGAGTTAATTTTACATAAAATTTTCAAGGCATGCACGAATGTGCGTGCAACTAATAAAATAAATTCGTGCCGAATTCTTGAGTATATTTGAAATCATTTTCAAGAGAATTAGTTTTATGTTCTAATAGTAAATATGTAGAAAGTTCACTAAAAGAAAACATATAAACAAATAATTATTTAGCAGTAATTCATAAGCATAATAATCGATAGTTGTTAATGAAAATTAAGGTTTATTAAATAAGTTGAAAAACAAAATAATAAGAAATACATATTAGTTAGTTGGAAGTAGGTAAACTATCAATGATAGTTTAAGAATAACGTAAAGTGACACGGAAAAATTTACACCAACCCTACCTTTCTCTTTTTATTAAGTATATTGACCGGTAATGATGCCACACTCAATGTGTGTTTAAAGATCATAGTTAGTTTGTAACATTTTTGGTACTTTACTTAGCAAGTAAATGACAAAATTTTAGTATAAAAATCATAATTAGTTCTCAACATCATCAACAGTTTACTTGGCGAGAAAAATGGCAATATTTGAGTATGTAAAAACAATTGGAAAAGTTGATAAATTAGGAGAGGAACGTCACTCCCATGAATTTAAGAATTTTTTAGGCTAGCCTGTTTGCTTGGGCTTTGTAGGGAAGAAACATTCATTAATCACTTCACTTAGCAAGAAAATGACAAAAATTTGAGTACGCAAAAAGAAAAGGAAAACTGAGAACTTGAGAACATAATTCACTTGCATAAATTCAATAGATTGAACTAAAGATTGTAAATTACCTTGACCTTTGATCTTGATCGAATCATCCCATGCTGACCATCCATCCCCCTTTGAATTGTTCGGTAAAAGTACAGAAAGTGACAGAAAAGATTTATACCATTCAATCTATGTACTCGGACTTTATTATTGTAGAGATATATGTGGAGATTGTTGTTGTCTGGAAACCATGGAAGTTACGCACGTACGTAACACTGCGTCGTCTACGTTTTCCAATTGGTTAAAGCATTTTCTTATAGGTTAAAGCAATACGGGTTTTCTCATCATTGGTCCTCTGATGTGAAGTGATGATGTGTTCTTTAGTTCCCTTATGTGGCAGTTATTAAATGGATTAGATATTCTGTTAATCAAAGAATTTATACTGCTTAATAATTCTTGCCAAATTTACCTTAAACACTAATTAAGATTTGACAGTAACAAATTCCTGAATTAATAACTTGAAACTAATTTGGGATACTTCCATCCTAACTCAAGTGCTAAATAGAGCCTCATACTTATTAAATGGATATATATATATATATGTTAATGAAATTTATAATGCTTAATTATTCTTGTACGTCTTATGTTGAAAACGCCCTATGTAGCCTCAATGAATATTTGAAAAAGTAAAATAAATTTCATTAAAATAACACTTAGGATTTTTTTAATGGGTACTCAAACACTCGTTAACACACCTATTGTTCAATTAATATATTATGTATATACACATACTAACAATTATTACTCTTTTCTACATTTATATTTTTTTCTATTTAATTTTATCTACCTTCCTTTGTATTTATTTACTTTTTTTAATTAATCTTATATTTCAAAAAATATAACGCTATAGCACTTGTTCTACATATAAAGAACAAGATAATAATTATTGTACTATTTTAAATATTATTTAAAATAAATACTATAGCACTTGTGATGTGATGTAAAGAAAATAAAAAAGTAGTTAAAAATATTTTTTTAAAAAAATTGAAAAAACGTGTTTATAATACAATAAAAATAATAGTTAGAAAAAAAAAAATAGGTACCCAAACAAACAAACAAACTCGTTGTCATTGGACATAGTGTTTGTGTATGGATAGACCATATCGACCCATTAGGCTTGGCAACGCAATCCGGTATTAGTTGAGATTGTGGTTTCTGGATAAATCTTGGTTTAGGTGGGAATTATAAGTACTAAGTAGGTAGGATTCACAAATTCACATCACACCCAGTTTATAAGTAGGTCCGTTATGGAAGGAAATGACCTGCTCTACGAAGAAGAGATAAGAGTTGCTAAGAATGACGGCTCAAATGAGAGATCGCCGTTGCCCTGAACCGGCTAGCTGGTCGCCGGCCAAAGTGGCAACAGTTAAGAGGACGAGGGCTCTGGAACAGGAGGCGGAGGGTTGGGGAGAGAGTTGAATGGGAACCCGTCGGGATGCATCAAGTGCAGAAGCGGCCGAGACAGATGTCAAACAGAAGCTGAATGACAAAAAATGGGCATCTCCAAAATGAAATATCTCAAGTTCAGTTGATTACGAAATAATACTCTATATTTTACTTGATTAAGGATCATTGAAATGTGCTTCATACATTGAATTACATATTTAGGATGAAGACGTCCATACCTAACTTGTTTAATTAATTTTTCCTTACCTTTCTCTTAATTAATCATGTTGTCATGAATGTCCTACTTGAGATATTTGCTGCGTCGTAGACATATTCAGCTTTGACTCCGCAAGAAAATGAAGGTTCAAAGATTCAGCAGCATAATTCAGCTTTTCATGACCGGCTAGGTATAGCATTCATCTTAGAAAAAAAACTTCACATACAGCATTTGATTAGTAGATTCAACATTCATGGCAACTTCACATCATGTTGTTTAATACAGCAGTTCGAATTTAGTAATACCAAAATGAACTGAGAGATAGCAAATAAGGTTTATGACGTCCTCCCAAAAGCTGAAGAAATTATAAATACTTACAAAGTTTAATAAACTAGAACGATCGCGAGTTCAAGAATAACAAGGAAGAAACTTTCGCATGTTACGTCCCAAGGGTTCATTATGACTTTTACTTGTACTGATTCAAAACTGATGCAAGACTTTCACAAGAAAGAAAGGGCGCAAATTTGAATAATTCAGTCAGAGTAGGCCTCAAGTCAAAATGTAAGACCTTTTACCGATGGTCAGCCGGTCAGAGATGCATTGGAATGCCATTTTTTAGGTTTTGGCATGGTTTGAAACTTTGAAGGTGGGACAAATTCTTTTCCTCAGAAGTATTCTTCAGGTCCAGGATCAGAAAAGGAGAAAAGTCTCTTGATCCTCGCCGTTAAAAAGGTACAAAGTAATAAGGGTCAACAGTCGTCCAACTAGTTTCACGATTGCCAATCGGCCATCAATGTTCAAGTCTAAACTCTCACGTCTGTACATACAACGGTGGCAGTTGGGACAGGCTTCCCATGAGTCGTCCATGCGTGTTGAAACTAGGAGTGTGAATTTACAATGCAAATTATGTTGACTCACCTAACCAAAATAATTATATATTTAAACTCGATTTTTAATGAGTGTTAAGCAAATAAATTTGATTTTTTTTTCAATCAAATAACAGTAAAATGTAGTTATTTCTTGTCAAACAACATGCGAAAAATTAGAAAAATAAGTGAAATTTTAAGTAACTCATAAATGGATAATTGGACATACATCCATACCCATTTATTAAATGAGTATGAATAATTAGTTTGATTCAATTATACTTATTGGCCAAATTATGACCCGCTTCCCAAAGCACCCATTTTGAAACTTGTAGTTGAAAGACTTTGAAGTCAAAGAATCTGATTGCAAAAAGATTTGAAGATAGGAATTTCAACAGACTGTTTTTTTAGTATAGGAAATAGGAGTTTTGTTTAAGTATCCTCAGCTGTTTCGTATACACATACATACATCAATACATACATTATTATCTTAAAGATACAACGTTACATATAATTTGTACCTCTGAAGTGTGGATTAGTTTTTCCGTTGACCTTCTGTCAGCCACAATGGGTTGCTCCTTGAACCGCTGTTCAACAGTCCAAGGTCCTTATTGAGCTTTCTACCTAAAAGGCCTAAACTTAACCATTGCCCAAATTGTAGAAGCCTAACCCTTGGCAATCCACAACC